GTGCACCGCAGGCTCTTCCACCTATATTGCGCCTGCGAAGACGGACGACGGAGAACGTCCGTGTCGCCCGAGGGGGCGTGCGGCCCCACGAACGGCGTTGAGGAGAGAGGAGTCGACGGAGTCGATCCTCTCAACTAGCTCCGTGATATCATCGGAGTCGCTGGAGGCTTCCCTGCCGGAAACGTCGGACGTGGACATGGGTTCATCCGGTGACGAGTCTATGCCCGGTGCTCTGACCACCGACGCGGCTATTGCGACCTACGTCGCAGAGAAGATGGCCCAACCCGAACGCCGTGGGCGTCCACCAACCCACGGGAAGTTTATCGGTCTGGGCAAAGTTAGGGTGCAGCTCCAAAAAATGAGAGCAGAGGAGAAAGACCGCGCCTTGGACAAAGTGCGGCAAAAAGCGTACGCGGCGGCGACAAAGCGCCGCACCGATTCGGAGGCCTCGGGGCGCTCATCCGACGCCGAATCGGTTAAGAGACTTCGGCGTTCGTGCTTAACGGTGGGGGGCACGGACGTCGAAGTCGAATGCGAGACAAGGGCCACGATAGACCTTGTAGACCTGCTCTACAAGGCTATCAACGTCTGCGACGAGGTGGCTGGGCGAGCCAAAAACTTGAAGGGCACGGACCTAAAGGCCCTTCGAATGGCGGGTCGCGACGGTCGTCGGGTGGCAGACACCCTCTACGTCCGTTTGCGTGATGAACCTGGGGCACGAACGGCTCCCGTTTTGCCCCAGGTTTACCAACAAAACGAAGACCTCCGCAGGGAGGTGAAGCAACTGCAGGACGAGGTGGTGGCTTTGACGGCAAAGGTTCGCATGCCGCCACCACCTCCTCCCCCCCCGGCACAGGAGCGTCTGGCCGAGGATGCGCTACTTGAGCGCATCTCGGCGCTTATAGACGCCAAGCTCGCGGCCCTGAACTTACCCGCTCAGGGTGCAGGACGCGCGAGCTTGACTAGCCGAGGTGGGGGCCGCGACCGAAGATCATCGCGGGAAGGAGCACGGAGTGTGCCAAAGGCTAGGGCCAAAGCCAAGGCCGCCACCAAGGCTAAGCCGAAGGCTCAACCTCCGGTCCCACTCCAACCGGCGAAGAAGGCTCTAGGACCCTCGTCCTCCACTACTGGAGGTGAGGAACCCTGGAGCACAGTTGTGGGCCGCAAAGCACGACGGGCGGCCGGGTCCGCGGTTTCTGCCGCTCCCGGTCGTCCAACTAAGGGAGGAGCCTCTGCCCCTGTAGCTGGCGCGACAGCGCAGCCCTCTAGTGCATGAGGCGGGAGGAAGAAAAAGCGCTTCAGGCTCCGGGTGCCAAAATCGGCAGCGATAACGCTGTCGGTTGACCCGGCACAGCCTGGAGCGCTCACCGTCACGGAGGCGATGCGCCGATGCCGTGAGGCGATACCACTGTCGTCAGTGGGTATCGCCCACGTGCAACCTCGGCGCAGTATGACCGGTGACCTCAT